CCTATCAAAGGAGCCTCATGGGAAAGCAGAAGCCACAATCCCAACTCAATGCTCTTCCTCTCGTCTCCCCCAAATTCAGGCCAAGGTGATCGTCCCGAACAGCACCGCCGGGCTGATCATCGGCAAGGGCGGGGCCACCGTCAAAGCCATCATGGAACAGTCGGGCGCTTGGGTCCAGCTGAGCCAGAAGCCCGAAGGCATCAACCTCCAAGAACGTGTGGTGACCATCAGCGGTGAACCCGAGCAGATCCACAAGGCCGTCGACATCATCGTTCAGAAGATCCAGGAGGATCCACAGAGCAGCAGCTGCCTCAACATCAGCTACGCCAACATTACCGGCCCGGTGGCCAACTCTAACCCAACCGGATCTCCCTACGCCAACTCTACAGACGTTCTACCAGCGGCCGCCGCTGCTGCCACCGCTTCGGGCTTGTTGGGCCACACCAGCTTGGCCGGCGTCGGAGCCTTCCCGGCTGCCCTGCCCGGTTTTTCCGGCAGCGACCTCTTGGCCATCAGCACAGCCCTCAACACCTTAGCAAGTTATGGATACAACACCAATTCTTTGGGGCTCGGCCTCAATTCGGCCGCCGCTTCTGGGGTCCTGGCCGCGGTGGCCGCCGGAGCCAACCCAGCTGCTGCGGCTGCCGCTAACCTCTTAGCTTCGTATGCCAACGAAGCTTCTACGAGTACCACGGCCCCGGCTGGTGCAGTTGGCGCTTTCACCTTGGGCTCTTTAGCAGCGGCCACCGGGGCGGCCAACGGCTACTTAGGGACCGCCTCCCCGCTGATGGCCAGCTCCTTCCTAGCCACTGAGAAGCTGGTGGAAAGCGCCAAAGATATGGTGGAGATCGCGGTGCCGGAAAACCTAGTGGGTGCCATTTTGGGCAAAGGTGGGAAGACGTTGGTCGAGTATCAGGAGCTGACAGGGGCCCGGATCCAGATTTCCAAAAAGGGGGAGTTTATTCCAGGTACCAGGAACCGTAAAGTCACCATCACGGGCACGCCAGCCGCCACTCAAGCCGCGCAATATCTCATCAGCCAGCGAGTAACGTACGAGCAAGGAGTCCGGGCCACCAACCCACAGAAAGTGGGATAAGAGGAGGGCAAAGAGAAGGCTTCGCGGGGGGTGGGGGGAGAGGAATAGGTTCAATCAGCCCTTTGAAAAAATGGTAACCGCCATGACACCGGCCCCTGCCCAGTGCCCTTCTCTCTGCCACACACACACATACAGACACACAAACACAACAGAGCCCCCTCTGATGGGGAAGCAGCCCTTCCTATTCTGCCGGACGTTTATTTCACCAACGGTGTGGCCTGATTGTGTATATATTTCTCTCTCTATCTCTCTCTATATATATGGCGATCTTTTCTTTTCTTTTTTTTCAGTTGATGGATTTTAATAGAAGAAAAAAAAAGATTTTTTTTTAAAAAAAGAAAAAAACAGTCCTCTTTCTTTCCCTCTTTGTTTCTGGGTTTTCCGAACGAGTCCGATGGAGCAAGGACAACCTCTATAGGCAGTCTCTTTCCTCTCTCCTGGAGAGGGCAGATCAGCTTCGGCCTCCCTCGCTGGGCTCCCCGTAGCCCCTTCCCCACGTCCACCCAGAGCTTGGACCACGGGTGGACGATCACGGGTCGGGTCTGGGAAGGAAAACGGGGGGAACGGAGTTAGGCCTGGGCCGAAAGCCTGACACGAGTCCCGCTGTAATATATTCCGAGTCATTTCGATGATAACATTTCGATGTTATCCAATGTTAGCAGACTTGACATCCCGCTTCTCTCTCGTAGTGAAACAAGGGAGCGGGTTTGTGCTTCCGAGTTGCGTCGTTCGTCCTAAATCAAGATGAGGTTGGAGAAGGAGAGGTTGGGCTAGAGTCCCGGGGGGGGGGCAACCTGGGCTCTTTTAGGACTTGTGGACTTCAACTCCCAGAATTCCTCAGCCAGCACGGCTCAGCTTGGAAACCTCTCCCTTTCCCCTCAGCACGGCTGGCTCAGGAATTCTGGGAGTTGAAGTCCACGAGTCCTAAAAGGGCCAAGGTTCTCCACCCCTGGGCTTAGACCGACCCTGTAACGGGGTCACGACCTTGTTCAGTTCAAACGACTATTATTTAAAGTGCATTGTTGCAGGTAGTCCTCAATTTACGACCACCAATGAGCCTGACATTTCCATTGCTAAGCCGAGACAGCCGGTGGTTCCGTGAACTTTTGTCCACGTTTTACAGCCTTTTTCCCACAGCTGTTAAGCGAATCACTCTAGTCGTTAAGGGAATCAGGTGGTCCTTTAGCGAATCTGTCTTTCCGCCCGGCCCCCTCCCCTTGACTTTGCCTGTCGGAAACCGGCTGGGAAGGCCGCCAATGGGGATCACGCGACCCTGGGACGCTGCAACTGTCGTAAGTACATGCCAGTTGCCAAGCGCCTGTATTTAGATTAAGTGACCATGGAGATGCTGTGACGGTCATCAACGTGAAAAGTGTTCCTAAGTCACTTTTCTCAGTGCCGGTCACTAAATGAATGGTTGTAAATCGAGAACTACCTGTATTCTTATTTTTAACAGGGGAAAGCTGTGTCCTTTTTCTCCGTTTCCCAACCCTGGTGATCAAAAAGAAATAAAATGAGGTGCTTAGGTGAACGTGTTGCAGATAAGATCTGTCTTCTGTGTTCTTCTGAAGGAGGAGGAGCTTGAACTGGGGGTAGAGAACTGGATCCAGAGAGAGCAGAGAGCTTTTGTGATCGGTGTCTTCTTGTCTTGCTGGGAATCTGGCCCAGAGTTGCCGTGGTGACTCTTCCTGTGGTTTGGGATGAGTGTCTCCCATTGCAAAGAAGGTTGGACCTCCTGAGATACAACATGTTGAACTAACTCCCTGAGACACAACATGTTGGACCTCCTGAGACACAACATGTTGGACCTCCTGAGACACAACATGTTGGACCTTCTGAGACACAACATGTTGGACTTCCTGAGACACAACATGTTGGACCTCCGT